CACAATAATGCCTATTTTAAATGCCTATGATAGAGAAAAACTTAAATTTCGTAAGACATAGCATGTTTTTAGGTGTTACTTTTCAACGTGAATTTAAAAATAAAATTAATACAACAGATAAGACAAACATCAAATAACCAATAGTAGGCTATTTATTAATATATATAGATGGTATGAAAGGAGGTGATTTACATGTATAAGTTGGACATATTTATACAAACAAAATTCTTCCTTGTAAACAACATATTTATGCCTTTAGGAAAACAAAGTTAACATATGGAAATACATCAGCTCTGTAAGGAGTACATCTGTGCCACTGGTTATTTTGAAATATAAATCACTAATGCTTAATAGAACAGCCCCCAGGAGTGACATCATGATAATATTCTGGGTGTTTAGACAAGATTCAGGCTAACTCACAGTCTCTCATCTAATGTATACTGATAGGTCCAATAAGTGAAAATGAAAAATAACATTGTGAATTCAATTCTTTAAATACTAGGTTATCACTATATATGTAAAGTAAAACACTGTGTTTTTGTATGTTTTTTAAAGATGACAAGTAGTAATCCACAGTCATATTTGCACTGTGGCTTAATCCTAAAATACATATCTAGTCTACAAATAAACACAGGGACCAGGGAAAACCTGTAATGGTCAGCCAGATTTCTAAATTATAGTGCTTTTCCATTTCATGATTTCCCTCCAATTATTCAGCACGTCTCACTGATAGCTTGATGCTCAAACACTTAAATTCTAGATTTTGGCATGACCCTATCATCTCAGCATTCAGCGATATTCTACAAGAACATAATATAGAGTAACTTATTTCAATGGTCAGGGAATTTGTGGCTTAAAAAGAGGTATTTCTGAGGTCTCTCAGTCCAGGGTTTTTATATAGTGAAGTACTAAAATAGAAAGTCGCCTTTAGGTTCCGTAATTGAAAATGAATGAAAACCCAAGCATTAATTTTTAAACTCACTCTTGAATCCCAAATCTTGTTAATTCACACTTATGTGACTACAGCTATAATAGTAAGAAGACAATTATGAGAGGATTAATATACCAATTTCTATACTTAGAGATGTTTAAAAATCTAAATGTTACCTAAGGCAATTACCTCAAAGACCTCTAATATCTTCAGGGAAAAGCCATAGGGAGAATAATTGACTTTGCTAATTTTACACTTGGCAATTATAAAAAAGCTCTGAATTTCATATGACTGCAGAACACTTCATCTAATGGTCTGTCCCAGGAGAAGTACAGAGATAAACACATAATGTAGAAATTCAGACAAGAATTCAGTAGCACAAGAAAATGGAAAATTGGTAGAAGTCATAAAAAATTAAAGTTGCTACAAATATGCTAACTTTAATTACCAAGTTAAATGCATACCCTCAAAGATAGGGTAGGCTATCACTGTGAAAAAACCCAGTGACATTAAATTCTGTATTAAGTTCTGCCTGCTCACTCACTGCTGTGGTCTCTATTTACATTGCTATTGCTGAGAATTTTTCTTTCTTATAAAAGAAAATTAAAACATCATTAAATAGAAATCTAACTTTACCAAGATATTAACCATATGTGGAGAACTAAAGAAAACTTAATACTGCCCCAAAGAAATACTTATGGCCACCTCCTCCCTTCCCTTCCAAAAACCCTATTAATGGTTAGTATTATACTCAATCAAGTTAAGCTTCTGGGAACTCATTTAATAAAATTAGCCCTTGTCTGAGGTATAACTTTACTTTCCTTTAAAAAATATTCTGATAGGAATACTGCCAAGTATTTAAATGAAAGGAATTGGTTTTGAATATGGGAGATTTGATTTATCAAAGAAAATTCTTGACTTTCAAGCATTTTAGTTACCCCTTACAGTATCCTCAGCATAAAATACTGATCAAATTATTTGGAAATCATCTATTATGATTAAAAGAGGGCTACTAAAAGCCTAGAGTTGTAGAACATCAATTACAGACCCCCTGGACATGGTATGCAAGGTCTTTAGCAAAAAGTGAGCCAAGTCTTTCACAAAAAGTTTCTTTTGAAATTGACTTACAGAGCCTTCAATGTCCCTTTGGAGAAAAAGGTGCAAAGGATCCATGCTTTGGGTGAACAGGAGAGTTGCATAGAAGAAAGGCTTCAAGTCAACACACAACTACCAAATTAAAAAAGTACCATGGCCTAAAAAGGGAAAAAATTCCTCACCAGACAAAGGCTGGTAAAATGCAAATCTAAAAGTGTAAAGCTGTGCAGAGACCATGAAGATACTGGGCTCACTGAAGGGGAAGGAAATGCCTGGTCATTTTTATTTCAATGAGAAGCTTCAGGCTGGACTGTTGATCGCATATGTTAAGTTTTTGTTTTTCACTGTTGTTGGGTTTTTGTTTTTTTTTTTGTACATCAAGTAGTGCTACTGAAATCTACTGCCTAATGGAGCAGATGGTGGAGGTCTTAGATTCTGGAACATTTATAGTGATGCATCTGAATGCGAAACACCAAGAGTAGATTTCACAGGCTGTGAATCTGATTTGATTTTGATGGGAGTAAAGTCTCCATTTCTCTGAACTTGAACCACGCTGAAAGAAAGAATGTGTGAATGACACAAGCCAGCTAAGGAAAAGGAACACATTAAATATTATTCCCATAATGTGAAGTGGTTAAAGTAAGTGAATACTTGTTTGTGTCACTATAGCATGATTATATTTATACTTAATACTACCACTTTAACTTTATATAATATTTTGTCAGAATAGCTTAAGTAAGCTTTGGTTTCTTTAAAGCAGGGGCCAGGCTGAGGGCTAATTACTAAAATGTGGACCTAGTTGCTCTGTCCAGACCATCTCTTCCTTTCAGGTATGTGGGTCTAATCCATGAGTGGCCAGTGTCTCTGGCTAGAGCTAGTCAAGTGCAGTTCAAGGCACCCAGAAACTACACCAGCCCTGCACTTTCTGAGACCTCCACCTTCTCCAAGACTCAAAGTTCACCACAGGCCATAGCAGGTGTGGTGAAGGGGGAAGATGAACGATGCAGCCAGAGTGGCTTCCAGGGACAACGGATCACTCAATCTTCCGTCTACATGTAAATTCCAGTAAAGGAGAGAATTCAGTGGGACCCATCAAAATAGACTATACACACAGACAATAGAGAAATTTGAGGGTGAATAAAAGGAGAATCAATGCCAAAATGGTAATAAATCTCTGGAGGGGGATTTGAGATGATCTATTATTTCATTTATATGGCAGATAATTTCTTATTTTAACTTCCTTTTCATGTAAATATATACTAAAGATACCGTTCTATATTCTCCCTAAAACCCAGGCGGTCTGTCCCGTGAAAAATATGTGCTAGCCAAAGGTATAATGGGAAGGTAGGACAGAGACTGCCACTTGTCTCCCATTATCTATTCTCTCTGTATCTTCCAGATTTTTGGCTGGACACATGGCTACTCACAATAAAGTTTACATTCCCTAGTCTCCCATATAGCCGGTATGGCCATATCATTAAATTCTGGCCAATAAGATGTAAGCAAATCCTCCAAACTGGGATATCTGAGAGTAAATGAATGTAGTAAAATAATTAACATTTTATACTTTTTGAAATATATATTTATTAACTAATAATTAATTTTATTATATTGGTGGACCTGTAACTAGTTCTGTTAAAAAACTATTTGCAGTACTGCCAGGCGTGGCTTAGCAGTTGAGCATCGACCTATGATCCAGGAGATCGAGGTTCAATTCCAGGTCAGGGCACATGTCTGGGTTGCGGGCTCGATCCCCAGTCGGGCACTTGCAGGAGGCAGCCGATCAATGACTCTCTCATAATTGACGTTTCTATCTCTCCCTCTTTCCCTCTCCCTTCCTCTCTCTGAAATTAGTAAAGGCATATTTAAAAAACAAACAAGCAAAAAACTATTTGCAAAAATAAAATTTCAAAAGAAATAAAAATAACATATATTCATATACATTAAAACAAAATAAAAACATATTGATGATCTGAATATAAAAAATAGTAAATTTGACCCAGTGATTCCACTCCTAGGAATGTATCCTAAGAATCCTGAAACATTCATCAGAAAGAATATATGCACCCCAATGTTCACAGCAGCACAGTTTACAATAGCTGAGATCTGGAAACAGCCCAAATGCTCCTCAGTAGATGAGTGAATAAAAAAGCTGTGGGACATTTACACCAAGGAATACTATGCAGCTGTAAAGAAGGATCTCTTATCCTTTGGGACAGTATGGATGGACCTGGAGAATATTATACTAAGTGAAATAAGCCAGGCAGCGAAAGACAAACATCACATGATCTCACTTATACGTGGAATCTAAAGAACTTAATAAACTGATGAACAGAATAGATTCAATGACATGGAAGCATGGATCAGACTGACGAATGTCAGAGGGATGGAGGAGGGCGGGAGGAGGGTGGAAGGGGAGAGAGTTACCAAAGAATTTATATGCATATATGCACAACCCAAGGACACGGACAATGGTGGGGAGAGGGATTGGGAAGGGGGAAGGGACGGGGTGGAACAGGTCACTGGGGAGAAACAGGACATCTGTAATATTTTAAACAAACAAACAAAAAAATTTAAAAAAATAGTAAAATAATTATTCTGGGTACATATTCACATACTTTAATTCATTTCTTCAGTCCATGGGCTGACACTCTAACCATTGACCCAAACTGGCTAGGGAAACTTATATCTTCTTTATACTGAATATTTAACACTATCCTATAATTAACAAATAATTTCATTTGTAATAAAAAAAGAAATTAATTTCAAAATTCTTTCCTAACATTTACCAGTTTTATCTGGTGTTAACACTGCCATCATCATCATCATCACTATCATCATCATCACAACTTTACTGAGCATCTACATAGGGAGAGCTGGGGCAGCAGGGTGCACAGACCTCTGTGGCTTCTGCAGTCAACCAAGAGCCACCTAAAGGCCATTCGGACACAAGCAAACCCTGCCCCAGTTTTACCTTGGTGTTCTGGAGCAGAGCTAGTCCGTTGCAGGCATTTGCTAGAAGAAAGTCTCCACTCAAGATAGCTATTTTATTTCCAAAGTGCATGTCCTTCAGTGGCCCATCAGAAGATTGCAATTCATTTAAATTTACTATTCCACGATGTACAAGGAGAGCAGTGTGGATAAGTTCTGTGATCTCTGCCAAACTTCTTTGACTAAAACATAAAAGTAAGATTTGTCTGAATGTCAAGAATACCATCTTATCCCTAATGTGTGACTTTAGTTTTCAACAAAAAAATATTTATAGATTAGTCTTTTTTTAGGTTCTTTTTAATGACATTTTAAATTGAGATATAAATTACATCCATCACCACACACAGTTACAATTTTCTTGTGATGAGAACTTTTAAGGTGTACTCTCTCAGCAACCTTTAAATATACATGCAGTATTATTAATGATAGTCATCATGCTTTAGTACATTATCTATTCCCATGACTTATTTATTTTATAACTGGGAGTTCGTACCTTTTGACCACCTACACCCATTTCACCTACTCCGCCATCCCGTCTCTAACAACCAACCACAAATCTGTTCTCTGTATTTGTGAGTTCAGGTTTTTTGTGGTTTTATTTTTAGATTCCACATATAAATGAGATCATATGGTATTTGTCTTTCTCTGTCTGACTTATTTCACTTAGCATTTTGAAGTTTGTTGCTTTTTTTTTTTAAGGTTTCAATGTACTTTATTTCTTCAATTATGCCATATTTTAATGGGTACACAGTGCTTTTACTTGGCAACAATTATGAGTTGGTTTTGAAAGAACTCACTATTATACCAGCTGGGATGATTACTGATCTCTTCATTACTTTGGGGTAACTGCCAACAGGGACAGGTTCCATTGTATTCCAATCTGTATTGCTGTATATGTCCATATAGTGGCTCCACTAGCTAACACAGCATTACCATAAGTGCTATGGAAATCAGGTATACATTTCTGGTGGCTGTGCCTTGCCATTGTCTGCTGAATGCTTTGAATTCAGAAACAACTGAGTGCGTTTTTGGCTGAGGGAAACATCGTAAAGCTAAAGACAGAATTGTGGCAACCACAGCTGCTGGTTTGGGGCAACTCTGAGTCAAGCGCCCTTGCAAAAAGACTTTCGTGAAGTTTTTAATAGAGGCCTCTCCACTGAGTAGTTTGGGCTCTATATACAAGCAGATCTAGACACCTACCTTCTCTAAAACATTCCCCACTCTCTACTCCACGAGTCACCTGGATTCCCAGAGAAGCTGGCCAGTGGAGGGCAATGCGTCACAGTTCTGTTTTCTTTGTTCTCAGTATAACTTTCCCATGTCTGTAATTTTAGGATTTCTAAGAATCCTTAATAATGTCTAACCGAACTCCTATATGAGTGGGAATGCCAGACATTAGGTTAAGCACTTTTATGCATTATCTAATTTAATCCTAAATACAAAAGAAGAGTAAGTTCATGGTTTAGATTTAAATGTCATTACATGTCCTCCAAAATCACAAAGAATGGAGACATATAAGACTACTGAGAAGTTAATAGAAAATATTTTTTAAAAAAGAGCTAACATTTAAAATTATCCTTTAAAAGAACAACTAAAAGGAATAAAAATATATTTTATTACTACCCTGCAAATGTTTTCTAGTTTGAAAACCCATTCACTATAAAAATCCATAGTGTTACATTTCACAAAAATTGAACAATGAGATTATGGGCAAGTATAAAACTCAAGAAAGGTTAAGCACTGGATAAATCTTTTATGAAATTCAGCTTATAAAAGTAATAACCAGGCAAGCAAGAAATTGCAGTTGTTTTGAATTACCCTAAGGATGAAAATGAATTATTGTGAGCTTTTGATAAAGACATCTATAATCATAAAACAGCATTCAATAAATGAATAGCAATCTTTAAATGTCAAAAGACCAGAAACAACAAAAACAATGGTGATAACGAAAGTGAAAACCCATCATTTGTACAGTATCCACCACTACAAATAACTTTCATTTATATTACCTACTTGTGATTCTAATTATAGCAGGTCTGGAGAGATTAAACACCTGAATGAGAACACTCTGTTTATGAAGGACAAGGCTGGAACTCAGAGTCACCAAGTCATAGTGACCAATGATAATTTAAAATGTGTACTTAACTAATGAATAGTAAATAGGGGCGGGGGGGACAAAGTTACCACTGTTACCAACACTAGTATATGCCCACCACAAATATGTCCAATTTTTATCCTTAAGTTCTAAGCATCACAGAAGAGAATTTTGCTAGGAGAAAGTATATTATGAGCAGACTTGACTCTTTTGTTCAAGGTAACTGGGAAAAGTAATCAAGTTGTTTGCAAATTATCTGGTCAGAACCAAATCAAGAGATTTAGTCCAATCAGGAATCTAGATAATAGTTCTAATTTTGCCTCTAACGCCAGACTGTGGGCAAATCCCTGAAACTCTAGACCCATGGTTTTCTCACCACTGAAAGAAGGGGAACTGGAGATATAGTCCCTTCCAGTTCTAAGATTCAGGGATTTCAGTTCTAAAATTTAATATTTAGTTATAAAATTCTAAGTTTTGAGGGTTTAAAAAAACTACCTGGGTTGGCAGTTGTTAAAAAAAAAAAAGGCTAAATAATTGCTATTATTAGTACCTATTTTTCTATAGGAAATAGAAATAAAATGACTGGTCATCTTGAAACCTGGCCTGTAATTCCACTATCTAGTACTGCGCTCTCAACCTCTAAGATTTTAGCATCAGATAACTCCAGATGACATTGTGCAGGAGTCTAATTTTGTGCACAGCAGAGCAGCAGTATGAAAGCTGGGAATATTTTCCTCTCATTATCTCATTCCTATTTTAGCCACCCAAAGCAATCTAGTAAACTTTCAATGTACTAGACTTAAAAAATTACCTTAAATAAAGGTCTGCATGCCATTTTATGCACATGTATTTTAGCACTCTTGGGTATTTTTTATGCTAAATCTTGATTGGAAAAGAGTCACAAATGAATGCCACTTATGTTAAGTAATCAGAGTAAGGAAGTAATTACCACATTGGACGTAACCCGGAGGATTAATCGATGTTTTCATAAGAATTTTCACCACATTACTTTCTTTCAATTGTATGTTGAACAACTTCATCTGTTTTCATCTATTTTCTTCCAACATTTCTCAAACTTGTTAGCACTCTAAGCTTTAGAAATAAGGATAGCAGACACTGCTAGCTACCGACTCACTATTTCCTTCCTCACTACTAACGCATCTTTGATTATATTTGGAGTAACAATGTCCTCACTTAAAACACTTGTCTCCCCAAGGTCCCTGAGACTAGAAGTGATCATGTAGCACAGTCTGGCCAATGAAAGTAGGTAGAAGTTCACTGGGCAAAGTTTCTGAGAAATCTACCGAGTTCCTGATCTAAGAGGACAGATTCAGTTGATGTGCACCTCTGGCGTTTTGGGCCTACCCTTTTTTCTTGTCTGGAATACGGCCCAACGGCCTGGAGGCACAGTAGACACCTAAGGATCCTAAAGGGAGCTCCCAATCCAAGAACAGTGAGCAAGAGGAAAGGAGAACCCTGGGCCCTTAATGACTTCTTGAAGTCAGCTCGGATGTGCCCATCTCTACACATTTTATTATCAGAGTTAAATAAACACTGCACTTCTTTAAGCTACTGTTTGTTAGTCCTCTTATCTGCAGCCAAGTGAATTCCTGAAAGATACTCAATAAAAATTATACTACAAAAATGGTAAAGACACTTTATGTTCATATTTCTGTACTCTGGTTTTATTCACCTAATACTATCTCTTGGAGATAGTTCCATATATTACAAATAGAGAAGTTCCACATTTTTTACAAACAGAGAATCTCCTTGTTCTATTTAACACCCACCTCTATAGAGGTTCATTGTGTAGCTGTGTCATGCCACTTTTGCTGCTATAGGGTGAATAATAAATCTATATTTGTTTACAGTATTTTTAAGAATCAGCCCCTGTGCCAACTCCTGTGAAGTCTCCCCTCATTTCCCCAGAGTTAGCTCCTGCGCTTTAAAGCATCTCAACACAGCACATTCACTGTGCTAACTGGGCTAGTTTCTTTAGCCATCTATCTTTCTGCCATGTCTCTCCCTCACTACACTGTGAATTATAATACCCTATTTCCCTGGCTGCCTATAAATACTTGTTAAATGAATAGCTCTTTGCTTAACAATCAATTGTGTAAAGCAGCTGATGTGCCACAGTATTTAAAACATGCAATACCTGACTATTTAGTCAGGGCCACTGACCTCTTTTCCTTTAGATTGTCAAATAAAAAAATGACAACAGCCAACAGAACAATAGTCATCTGATGTGAATGACTCAGGATTATACCTTTTTTTTTTCCAAATCGGGAAAAAATGTAACCTATTTTTTGGTGTGCCGTAGAATTTTAGTAATCAGTTTATGTGCCATGAGATAAAAGGTTGAAAACTGCTGGTATAAAGGTACAGGGAATTGTTACCATTCTTAGTTTCATAAGGAAAAGAATGATGTCAACTAAAAAGTCAGGTTTATGGAATCAGAGATGGAAGTGGCCCCAGAGGTCAATTAACCTCAATTAACCCCTTCCAGGGATGAGCGATAACAAATTACACAGGAGCCAGGTCTGCTGATTAATAGTTTTAATTATTAGAAATTGTTCCTTATATTAACTTGAAATCTCTTTAAATGTTTTACATTTTCTAATTGATGTTAAACTAGTCAGAGGGTCAACTGTGTTTCAACACACAGGCAAGGAAGACCAAAGACAACAGAGTTGCCTTCTCTTTCTTTTTCCATTTTTCCTTTTCTTCTGCCTTCCCTCCTTGCTTTCCTTCATTTCAGAGGTTTAACAAAATACAGAAGAGTTCAGAGAATAACATAATAAAAACATAATATTCCACTTAGAAATAACAAATGTTTACGCTTTGTCATTTTTAACAGTTTTTAAAGATGCATTTAAAAAGAAGTTTGTATTTTGGGTATTTTAAAACATTCTGAAGTGGAAAATATAACATAAAGCACCTCTGTGGACCCTAATCTTGTTTCAGCTACACCTTTCACTATCTTTCCAGATTATTTTGAAGTAAATGCCAGATATCATGTTATCTCATCTGCAAATACTTCAGATATCCTATATTTTAAAATGCCTAATTTCAATTATGGCTTTT